TTGAATATACTTTAGCAGCACCAAACAACCCGTGGGTTTATCTCCCTCCATCTCGCGGGTTAAGAACTTGAATGGCTATAAACAATTTTGATGTAAATGTAAGTTAGATCGAATGTAACAAAGTCAAATCGAAGAAGAAATGAAACTTACTGTGAGGATGTCCAAAACATCTCTCATTGCTTGCCAGTCCGCCACAGAGAACACCACTTCTTCAAAGTAACCAAGCTTCTTACCATCCGTCTTTGCCCGTCGTCTCTTTGAGTGAACCTCGGCCAAGTCATCTCTCATGACTCTATCAATGAGCTGAAAGATGAATCAATGACAATTAGCAGTTATTTAAAAAGAAGTGAAAATAAAAAAGGACTTACATCTCGTGCGGCCCACATCCGCTCCCAACGTTCCGCACGTATACCCCACCTAATACCATGCCCCGACAAGAGGGCCTTGAGGTTGGGTAGCCCGTCTATTTTACGTTGTTCATTTGCCCTTTCTCGGCGTCGATTGAAGTCAGCCCGGTGGCCGCTGGATCGTGTCAGCTTTTTGTTGACAGTATCCATCTAACGTAATGCAATCAAGACAAAAAGAAGGCATTTAGAATGAAATTCATAACAGAATGTCAAAATCGAAATATAATGAAAGTTGAGAGACGTGAAATGAGACTTACATCATCAGTTAGCTTTTTCATGTACGTATCACCAAGAAGATAAGCAGCCTTTCTATTTTTGTAAGTCTGAGGTTCATCTTGCTGTTCCTTATCGTCGTCTTCACTTTGATCAGAGTTTGAGTCCGAATTGTTTGAGTCACTACTGTGATTTGATTCAAGATCATCGTTGTTGATCTCATTGCCATCCGGATCAGTCTGAAGGTCGGGGACATCCACAAGCTGCTCTTCCTCTTCAATAACTGCCATAACCCCAATGGCGGGAAACCTACCTAATTGGTCATGTCGAACACGTCTGGGTTTTAATCCAAGCGCGTCCAGACCAGCCTTGACAATGAGGCCCATTTTGTGGCAGAAGCATCGTATCGTCATCGTTTTCGGATTCCAAGCAAGCCGGTGACCTGAGTGAAAACCTTCTTCCTCCAGCTGTCGATGCATTTCACGTGCCATGGTGAAATTGTTGCTTCCAGAGTCGGAGACACTGGCAAGCATGTAAAAGGAGAGGTGATGTCAGGATCAGAAATAGAAAGGAAATATAAAAAACGAAGAAAGACTTATCCTTTTATATAGATCATTCTTTTTCAATATTGCCACCATAGGCTCGGCGAGTAAAACTCCCTTATGATGCCATGCAACGACCTTCAATGACAAATGACGGACTACATATGTCCAGTCCTCCTTAACATACGAAACCGAAGCACCGATGAACGCGTGAAGATTGCCCTTCACGGTCCAGACGTCCTGAATCAAGCAAAACTTGCTTGATAATTCCTAGAAAGTACAAACGAAAGAGAAAGCAGAATGAAAAAAAATGAGAAAGTCACAACAATGAGAAAAACAAAAAGGAAAGATACATACTTTCAGCTCTTGATCAATAACTAGATCACGAAGTGAGAGATAGAGTCTCTTCGCCTCTTCAGCGGACCATTTTCTACCAAAGACGCGGGCATCAGGCCTTAACCAGTACAATATCGACTTGAGGATCGGATCTTCGATTCGAATAAAGGGTAAGGCATGCGCTACTTGCCATACTGCAAGGCACTGGTTGAGGGTTTTGTTGTTGAAGGCTGGTGCTGTGTTTACAAACGAAGCAAGTGAAGATTGATGATTATCTTTGAGAGCTTGAGCACGTAGTTCGGAAACTGATGGAGGCAGCTTGGCTCCGGCCGCAATTGCCTGTCGACGGCGAGGACAACCGGCTCCTGATTTACCAGACTGGTTGTGCCCATCGCGGTGAGCCTTCAGATTGGATTGAGAGCTCGCGCTCACTCAAACGACCTTGCTGCACCATCGACAAGCGTATGAGAGAGGTGGTCCATCCAGAGGCTAATGATAACAATATATATTGATGAGTATAAGAAGTATAAGATAAAGATAAAATTGACTTACATCTTTTTTTTCTTTACAATGAAAGCCTGGCTCAAAAAACGTGAACGGACAATCAAAATCTTCGTCAACGGGTATGTTCCTCTTTCTCTTTCGGATCCGAGTGTTTTCTTCATCAGAATCCTGTGCCAAGTCGACCACAGGAGGTCCCGAGGGGTCCTATATGAGTTCAGACATTAGTAAGTCCTCTTTAGATATACATTACTGCAATTGAAGATTTTCACTTACCTCAACACTTTCTTGGCTTAGCAAGGTACCGGAACGGACCTGGTTCGACCCAAATAAGTTATTCAATGGGTGTTCTATTCCGATTGAGTCATGGCCTCGGCTGATGGAGGTACTCGTGAGCTAGTGTGAAGTGGGAAATTTAAATGTTAAAAGATATGTTTTAACATGTGAAATCAGAGATAGATGAACAAAATAAGAAAACTTACTGTGGATGATTGACGTGTGACTGTCTTTGATCGGCCACGAGCTGGTTCACGTATCAATTCGTCGCCTGGTAAGGAGGCTGATCTTTCTCGGCGTCGGTGGACGTGCGCGTCTCTGACGTCCCTGATCGATCTGAATGAATTCCAGTCTTCAAGAGCTCGTCGAGAGTCCGAACTGGGGGTGATCATACCGGGAGCTTTTTTGGCTGGTGTGATGATTCGAGATGATCTTCGAGTTGGAACTGAAGCAGTTGGAGGAGCCGATGTATCATCGGTTTCGTATCCAGAGGCCAGGAAGGAATCTACAGTGGTTTGCTTGGTCAACATATTAGTCTATTTATGAGAATAAACGAAAAAAATCGAAATGTAAAATTGATCAGTGATGGTTGAATGTAAAGTTAAGAGAACAAATGTGATGGTGAACCACTAGTTTGGACTGTAGTTGATCGTGATCAATGCTTACCTTTATAACCCAAAACGAGGACTCGTTTTGCAAGAAGAACCATATGATAGCCTTTTTCCATAACAACAGCCACTTGATTTCATTTGGTGAGGTTTGGAGGTCTGAGCGTTGAAAGAAACATGGCACTAATGAAGTCGTGTTGATTGATCTGGAAAGGGCGGCCATCGATTGAGATCTATTGAGATGAATTGGTGGTGTGGTGGCAGATAGCGTGGGGTGTGTTGAGTTAACTGAATGGTGGCTGTCCACCCGGCCCCAGTAGCCGGGTGCG